TTTACACATGCGGAGGGGGTGGTATACTTACTCCGCAGCCGGCTATCTGCACCGATTGGCATACAAAGCCCCCGATCCTGGCCAGAGAATTCATGTTGCTGTTCCTGCCGGTGCGTTCTTCTTCCTCTTTCCCGATAGCTTATCGGTTGTGTTGGCTATCGCACTCAGCTATCGATAAGTGCACAGCTGATTGGCTTGCCTCCGAATGGCAACTTTATGGTCGTATATTTCGGAAATATAATTTCACCTGAATTGCCTATGCAAAAGCAATGAACAAGTAGGCTTTTTGGAATGCGTCTAAGAATCGCATAGATCGCCCACTAGCCACCCACGCTACGAATAAGTTTTAATTAATGATTCAGCAGCTTTACATAACACAGCCGTCCAAGATTTGAAACGAGCGCGTTTCTAGCCATTCGTAGCGAGGCGCGGTTACTAGCGACGTTCGCCGCGGGACGCGTGCATCCGCGTGCCGGTGTGTGTGCGCCAGTGCGTGCATGTGTATAGCCGTGCTGACTGGTGTGCGTGTGTGTGGCCGTCTCACGTCGAGTTAGAAATTTGCTCGTGCCCGCAGTTTGCCTTTTTCGCCTTGTGTGGTGTGTCTACCCAACTACTCTGCCGATCGAATCGCATCCAGCTACCCCCCGTGCCGTCGAAGCAACTCAGAGCGCTGATCCCGAACCGCAGATCCCGCAGTCGGGTGCAATTCACGGCCAGGCGAGGAAAATCCCAGAGAGTCAGCAGCTGAGGAAAGAAAGAACAAGAGCCGACCGAGAAGAAGAAGCAGCAGTAGAAGAGGAGCAGCCGCAGCCTTGCAGAGATGCCTTCCAGCGATCCCCTGCCGCCCAAGGAGGGTGCGCTCTTCCGCAAGCTACTTGTAAGCCGGGTGGTGGTTGCCCCTGCCCCTGCCCCTGCCCATATAGCTCCCCTACGTGCCCCCTGACCCCCCCAAAGTTCCCGCTACTCACCGGCTTCGGTACATCCATGTGCTTTTTCGGCCAAGTCAGGTGGAGTGCCTATTTTTGGCCAAAGCAAAACGTAGGCCAACACGCGGCTGTCCGGGATGTGCAACTCCTGGGTACTCCACCTCCATCGCGACTACGGTGTACCGCTCGATGGTAGCATAACCTCAAAATTTTGCCACTGGGCGGGATGCGCCAAATGGACTAATCCCTCGACTAATCCACTATCTAATCTCTGTGCCCCGCCAGAAATGCTACGAAATGAAGCAGTACAAAAACGGCCTGAAGCTGGCCAAGCAGATCCTGTCCAATCCCAAGTACACGGAGCACGGCGAGACGCTGGCCATGAAGGGATTGACTCTGAACGGCCTGGGGCGCCGCGAGGAGGCCTACAAGTATGTGCGTCTGGGACTGCGCAACGATCTGCGTTCCCACGTCTGCTGGCATGTCTACGGACTGCTCCAGCGCAGCGACAAGAAGTACGATGAGGCCATTAAGTGCTATCGCAACGCGCTCAAGTGGGAGAAGGACAACCTGCAAATCCTAAAGGACTTGTCGCTGCTGCAGATCCAGATGCGTGACCTGGAGGGCTACAAGGAGACGCGCCACCACCTGTTTACGCTGCGCCCCTCGCAGCACGCCTCCTGGATCGGCTTCGCCATGAGCTACCATCTGCTGCGGGACTACGACATGGCCAACAGCATCCTGGAGACGTTCAGCCAATCGCAGACCTCGATTGTATGTACCTGGCTACCCTGGCCCGTATGGCCAACGCCGATGCCATTGTATAATCCAATTTATCCATTTTCTTGCATCTTTCATGTTGCTCCACGGGTAGGAGGCGCACGACTACCGCCACTCGGAGCTGCTGCTCTACCAGAACCAGATACTCATCGAGTCGGAGCGCCTGCAGCAGGCCGTGGATCATCTGACCAAGTACCAGGCCCAGATCGTTGACAAGCTGGCCGTGCGCGAGACTATGGGTGACCTGTACATCAAGCTTCAGCAGCAGGAGAAGGCTGTGCCCATCTTCGAGTCCCTGATCCGCCGCAATCCGGAGAATGTGCTGTACTATGAACAGTACATGGCCGCCCGCCAGGCGACCGAGTCCAGTGCCGTGGTGGCAATCTATCGCGTGTTCCAGGAGCAGTACCCGCGCGCCCTTTGTCCCCGCCGCCTGCCTTTGAACATCGCCACCGGCGCCGAGTTTCGCATCGTGGCCGATGAGTACCTGCGTCGCGGTCTGCGTAAGGGCATTCCGCCACTCTTTGTCAACGTGCGCACGCTGCACCAGATCCCGGAGAAGGCGGCCACCATCGAGGAGCTGACGCTGCAGTATTTCGAAAACCTGACGCGTTCCGGCCACTTCTCTCGCGGGGACGCTGATGCCGGTGTTCCCGTCGAGCCGGCATCGGCGCTGGTGTGGACGGCTCTGTTCCTGGCGCAGCACTACGACTACATGCGTGACACGGACCGTGCCCTCGAGTACATCAATGTGGCGATCGACCATACGCCCACGCTGATCGAGTTGCTCATTACCAAGGGTCGCATCTTCAAGCATGCCGGCGATCCTGTGGAGGCGTACGTCTGGCTGGAAGAGGCGCAGAGCATGGACACGGCGGATCGGTAAGTGTCGCTTGAACGAAGCGACTCTCTTTCTCAAAGAGACTTACATTTTCCTCCCCTCTCAGCTACATCAATTCGAAGTGTGCCAAGTACATGCTGCGCGGCAACATGGTGCAGGAAGCAGAGGAGATCTGCGCCAAGTTCACCCGCGAGGGTGTATCCGCCATGGACAACTTGAACGAGATGCAATGCATGTGGTTCCAGACGGAGTGCGCCCTGGCATATCAGCGGATGGGTCGCTGGGGCGAATCGCTGAAGAAGTGCCACGAGGTGGAGCGCCACTTCGCTGAGATCGTCGAGGACCAGTTCGATTTCCACACCTACTGCATGCGCAAAATGACACTCCGCGCCTACGTTGGCCTTCTGCGGCTAGAGGACGTACTGCGCCAGCATCCCTTCTACTTCAAGGCGGCTAAGTGCGCCATAGAGGTGTACATCCGTCTCTACGACAAGCCGCTCAAGTCGGAGGCGACCATTGAGGAGATCGACATTGGTAATTAAACTGATAAGACTCCTTTTGTACAAACGCTTAACCGACCTAATTCCGCCACAGAGAACCTGCCCCCTTCGGAACTGAAGAAGCTGCGCAGCAAACAGCGCAAGGCCAAGAAGAAAGCCGAGCTGGAGAGTGCGCAGGCCGCGCAGGCGCAGGTGAAGCGCGAACAGCACCAGAAGTCGAAGCAGCAGGCGAACCAGGAGACCGATCCCGATGCTCCGCAGCTGGACGAGCTGGTGGCCGAGAAGCTGGAGCGCACGGATGATCCGCTGGAGAAGGCCATCGATTTCCTAAAGCCGCTACAACAGCTGGCCAAGGAGCGCATCGAGACGCACCTGCTGGCCTTCGAGGTGTACTACCGCAAGAACAAGCTGCTCCTAATGCTGCAGTGCATTCGGCGCGCTCGCGCCGTTAACCCCGCGCACCCCGAAGTCCACAGCTGCATTATACGCTTTGTGAAGTCGTTGACAATCGCCGCCAAGGAACAGCCGTTCAATGAGCACGTGCAGCAGGTGCTGGACAAGGCCACCAAAGAACTGATAGGCAGCAAGACGCCCCAGCAGCTCAACGACGAGTTCATTGCCAAACACAACGCTTCCATACTGCATTTATACGAGGGCGCCCGCAGTCTGTACGAGCTGGACAATAGTAAAAAGGCGGCGGCCGTCAAGCTGGTCACCAGCTTCAATCTGACCAAGCTGCGGCTAGAGGTGAGTGGATATTGTCTGACCCCCTGTTCTCACCAACTTACGCTGTAAATTTACATTCACAGGAGGCCACCAAAATCTACACAGCGTTGCGGGACGGCGATGTGTTTGGGGAGTGCGAGGCCGAGGCCGCTCTTTACCAGCAAGCGTGCCATGAACGCTTCCAGTATGCCCGCATCTTTCGCAATGTCGAGGAGCTGGAGGCCCAGCTGCAGGAGAAGGAGGCCGCCAAGCTGCGCGCCGAGGAGGAGCAGCAGCAATTGATTCATGTTGATTCTAGTGAACCGGTGTCGGTTTTGGCCACGGCAGCGGCAGCGTCTTAGGACCAAACAAGACTGCTACCTAAAACCCGCAACCGCAGATATATTCTAACAGCAACAAAACAGATCCGCGGATAGCACTAACAACCACAACAACAAAAAAACAACAATAATGAGAAGGAGAATGAGAAGCGAACCTAACTAACAACAAAACAATATGAACAGGAATAAGCTTAGCTCTATAAACAACGGCAACCACAATAAAATTCACTATTAACAACAACAACAACCAACTAAATGCTAAAATGCTATGACGAAGAGGCTGAGCTGATCGAAGCAAAGCTGAGTTTATCTGATTTGCTGAGCGGTGTGCCTTTTTGTGCGGTGGTGACCCCACCAATCCCACCTGAGAACACACATCCCTTCATCCATCCTCATGGCAGATCCACACAGCATCCCATAATAGTTCCGCCAGGAGCCACATAGCTACATATATAATTAACCAAGTTGACACTGTTGTAGGACTTTTTAAATTGATTGAAATGGAAGAACCCTTGTTGACAACACTACACTTGCTGCTGGCTTTCTTTTAACATTTTATTTCTTATTATTTTTAACGAATGCATTGTATGTACATATAAAGTCGTAATTAATTATACGCAAATCAAAACCTTAATTCGTAACGAAAGACAAGTCTTATTAAATTTCGATTGAGCACATGCAAATGAGAGCGGGGGATGTGTTGAGTACCCTTGTTCTTAGTCTTTTAGCTACTTGTGGTCTGTATAATGTATTTTGCATTGATAAGGGATCGTTTTCTTGTCCGCGTATACGTTTTTATGACTAAAAAACGGACAAGAAGACGGCCATAATACTCCGACCCAATTTGTAAAATCACAAAAACAACACTTTAAGAAAGTCGATGGCATAGGCTTGATGACTTGCCCTTTTATTTAGCATTGTAAGAGCTGGAACCTGGCTGATGGCCATTGGGACGCTCGCGCCAGTTGGTTATCTTCTGCTCGCGCCAGTTGGAAGTCTTCTCCTCGCGCCAGTTGGTAGTCTTCCGCTCTCGCCAGTTGGAAATCTCCGACACCGGCTTCGAAGCTTCTGGCTGGGCCCGGGGCTCCGGTTTGGCCTTCGGGGAAGCACCCGTCTTCACGAACTCGTCCGAAATCTGCGACTTCATGGTTATTGGCATCCAATCAGTTCCGACTGCAGTCATATAACGTCCACTGGACTTTAGCTTGTTATTTAGTTCTTCGTCTTAAGGGGAAAAACCATTAAAAATGAAAATTTGTTGTAGAAAAAATTTACCACCTGACATGTTCCTTCCGACGTTGATTAGAGCAGTATGAAAAATATCCCTGCTTGTAACACTAGGCCTGCTATGATGAACAGAACTTTCATCATAAAAAATATCGCACACTTTTCAGCAACTATACATCATCTATCGTATCTGTTTTAATGGCACGATATGGTCTTATTTTTGGTTTGTAAAGCAAATTTGGCAGTTATGCTCCGGTTCTAAAGTCTTAAAATAAACCCACACTAAAATTCCAAACATGTTTACTGTGACCATTTTTATTTAGGTGCAACTTCTCTTACAGAGCGAGTTCCTTTTAAAACACTCATTTACATGACACATACTATAATATCTGGTAAACGACTAAAATAAAAAGGACTGATATCTATTATACTAGTAATAAATACAAGGAATATCAGGAAAAAGTCGAGTTTATTTTAAGAGAAAAAAAATATGAGTCAGTCTCATTTCAGTATTAATATAATCAACAATTTTTGTGGGAAATACAGTCCATTGGATGCGGCTTCTTCGAATGCCTTGCACAGACTAGGAAATGAAAATTGGATGGTTCTAAACAACTTTTTGCTTAGCGTTAGGTGGGTTTTAAACTTAGGAATACAGAGTTTTCAAATTTCAAGCAATGGGATCTTATAGACGAGCAATTCATTGAGTAGACCCCGTCCTTCGTGGAGCAATATTTGTATTATCATCATCTCAATGCATTATATATTCCAAATCAAATTTGGCCCCAATCCGGGGTACTCGTTGTTTCCTTGGCCTGGTTGCCTAGAAAAAAGGAAATGTGAGTGTTAAAAAAGATAATGTATATGAAAGGTAAGGCTGAACTACTTTTCTCACCTGAGATGATCCGGATTCAACCGTTCCAGCTGCTGGGACAGCATTCGATTCGGACTGTGATACCGACGGCTGCTGATCCAGAAAGATATTATTCCAGGGATTATTGCGGGATCGATGTGGGTCAATGCTCACCTGAATATTAAGCGTTTGCATTAGCTCGACAGCTTGATCACTCGGTGACTTGTCCGGAAGACTAGAACTAGAAGTTGTGTCCGTGGTGTCGTTCAACGATTGCTGCACAAAACAAAGATACTTGAAATGATATCGCCAAACCCAATTAATTAATTTAATTTATTATTACAGCATCTGGCTCCTGGCGACCACCGATTGGCTGGGTACGCTTCGATTTCCTCGGACGATACGCCTGTATGGGCACAAAGTCCTGTATCGAGGAGTATCGAGGCGAAACCACATTGTGGATATCCTTCAGCTGCTGGAATGGCGGTAGATCCGGCGTATGGTGCGGCTGGTACGTCTGGTAGGGATTGGTCTGCTGCATGCGCACATGGTTGTTGTTGAAAACACTCTGCGCAGCCATGTTGTGGTTGGATCGCTGCTGATTTCCATTGTTGAATCCAGAGTGGGGTACGCTGGCATGCTGCTGCAGCAGTGGCTGCCTCATCTGGGCACCAGCTATGGGTGGCGGCTGCCCAAGATCAGCTCCCGCCTGGGCGCTTCTGTACCACTGCTGGCTCTTGATGCGATCGCTCTGCTGTTGCTTCTGCGCCTCCTGCTGCCAGAAGAGTGGTGGCTTGGGCAAGTTCTGAAATGGGTGCACATGAACGAGTAGGCAAGGCAAATCTCGGCTGAAAGGACTTACAGGCATTTGCCCGGGAGTTGGAGCCTGCTGCAGTGGCGGTGGACGTGGCTGTGGCTGCTGCTGCGTCGACTCCAGAGATTGCGTCGCCTCCCGCTCCTTCTTCAAGCCCAGCAATGACATGAGCGCCAGTGTCTGATCCTGCGGAGTCACCGTGGCAGCCGGAGCTGCAGTGCGAGGCGCCTGGGCCGGAGCCACGGAGGAACTGCCGCCCTGCTGGCGTGAGGAATTCTGCCGCCAACTTTCTGCCGCCGGCTGAGGGTTGGTCGTTGGGGCACTAGCCCGATCCCGCCAGTTGGAAATCTTCTGCTCCGCCATCGGCTGCGCCTGCGACTGCGGCTGGCCTGACCTGGACCACTCCGGTTTGCCCTTCGCGTCGCCTCTGGTCTTCACGAACTCGTCGGAAACCTCTGTCTTCATCGTGATGGGTACCCAATTCGATCCTGCTGCGGTCACATAACGGCTGCTGCTCGCCTGTTGTAGATCGCGAGGGTTCGTTCGGACGTTGTTGTCGTTCTGCTGGGGAGTCCTCGTCGACTGAGCCTTGTCGTTTGTCTTCTGTGTTTGTTCTAAAAGAAGAAAATTGTTGCATTAGTGAATGTTTAAAGGAGGCATGCCGCCCTCGGAGGCTATAACGTGATAAATCTTAGATGGCTTCTTAGCCTATTAATATTATCTGTTAGTCTTAAAATTTATATATGTTTTTTTTATGTTTTGTATAAATGTTAAACTATATATACATATAAGGGATATATGCCTTCTAAGAAAAGTACACACATAATCCCAATCCCTAGCCCTTTCCGTAAATTAGCTTTCATAAAGCCTACAAACAAAATAAATAAATACGAGTGCTAGACTTGCTGAACTTACCGTTCGTGAAGATGACCACCATGGCGTTCTCAGGCACCTTGTAGACCCGATCTTGGGCGATGCCGTGGATGTCGTTGCAATTCGGAACGGGCTTGTCGAACAGCACCTCGCAGAAGGTGTCCACGGCATGGACGCATTCCAGGCGGACCGGATTGGGATCGGTGACGGGGTGGATGCCGATCACCGTGCCCTTGATCCCCACCGGCACCATGTATATGGTGCGGACGATAATGACGCGGTCGAAAAGTCGCACCGGCCGCCGCGATCGGTAGACTTCCGGCAGCGTGACATTGGGCTTGATGAGCAAATGCGGCTTAACCTGCAGCTTAACGTCCTTGACGGGCAGCGAGCGCAGCTCGTCGACGGCGGCCATCAGCAGCTCCACCGTCTCGCGGCAGACTGTTTTGGAGCCGCACGAGATCCGCTCCACCTTCATGTGTGGCTGCTGGCGCACCCAGTTGGCTAGATCCTCAACGCGGTGCTGGCCAATGGCATCCGGGAAAACATCCTGTTCAAAGACGTACTCGCCGCGATCGTTGCTGACTCCAAAGAAGGCGACTACGTCCGGGTAACGCTGACAATAGTCCCGCATCAGTTCCAGGGCAAGGCTGGAGTAGAACCACTGGTTGCCCGACCGGCAGCAGTAGCCGGCACGCTCCTCGTTTTGTCGCGGGTACTTGAGCTGCAGGCCAATGTTGTGCTTGGCCACGTTCTCCATCTTCTCCCGCCGAGGACCGAGAACCACCCACACTGTGCCGGTAAGGCGACCCAAGGCCCGCCCGTTGATGTTCAGTAAGTGGCAGACCTCGTAGGTGTTTAACAAGTCCCGATCGCGATTTTCCTGCAAGGCGCGTGCCTCCTGGACATCCGGTTCCGGACGCACACGGATGTTGACTGTAGCGGAAAAAAGAACAAGATGAGAGGGTGAACGGGACAAAATCCACCGAGACTGGATTACCCTGGATGCGGCCGCAGCTGTAGGCGAGCAGGGGATCCATGACAGTGCCCTCGCTGCCGTAATACGGATTGCCGATGAAGAAAATCGGGCTGCCGGCGGGAAAGAAGTCCTCAACCTTGCTGAACTGCTTTCGCATGCTCTCCTTCACGGCCAGTTCGGCCACCACACCCTGGGCGGGATAGCCGGTGATAGCGCTGCTCCACGCATCGCGGACCTTTAGCGTTCCCTTGGCCCCAAACTCCGTGGAGCTGCCGGCGTAGGTGCGCACGTAGACGAGCACGTCGTAGTTGTGAAACTGGATGCCCATGCGCGTGGTAAAGCTGTCAGAAGGGAGAGAGAAGGAGGAGGAGCATTAGCAGTTGGGCGACGGATGCAGGAAGCGGCTTCACACTCAACTGTTCCTGCAGCGTCTTGCACTCCGAGTCAAAGCGGCGCGACTCATTTGCCGAGAGTCCCTCCTCGTCGACCCGCTGATCTCGCGTGGCGACGCGCACCACCTTCGCCTTGATGAGATGCGGCCAACCGATGTGCACCACCTGCTCCAGATACTGCCCGGCCACCGCCTCCAGGCTGTCCTCCAGTTGCCGTTTGCGCGGCTTAAGGACCATGTTCTGGTTGCGGCTCACCTGCTCGAAAACCTTGACGCGATCGTGGCGAAGCTCAAACTAGAAGATGGGAGGGCACATATAAAGGCTGGCATTACGAGCGGAATGGCCAATATAACACTCACGTCGAAGGGCAGATGCTGCATGGTGGGAAAGCCCGGGAAGAAAACGTGCCGCGCCGCATTGGGCAGCTCCACGCACACGCTGTGCGGCAGGTTGAGGGCGATCTCGCGCGACCACTTGGCCACCTCGGTGCAGAAGAGGTTCGCCAGCCCCCGCAGCGGCGGTTGCGGGGCCATGGGACCCTGCGACTCTGAACTGTGCCTGTAGATGTACATGGGACCGTGGCGGTTACGCTCGCGCTCCGCCTCTGAGAGCAGCACCTCGCAGGGACGCATCGCAGCTAGCAGCCGCCGCTCGTCTATGAAGGGTATCAGCACCACAGCCTCCCAGTCGTGCTTCTTGCCGTTGAGGTCGCTCTCGAAGTCCAGCGGATAGAACTCGGCCAGCGGACTGCTGGGCAGCAGCATGAGGTCATGGTAGGCGAGTGGGAGTAGCTTGCAACTGGCCGCCGGTAGCACCGCCAAGAGCTGCGTGGAGAAGGGGAGGCAGGATTTAGTAAAGCTTTAATATATGTAAGACACCGTGAGGATTATAATATTTAAAATGAAGAGTATAAAATAATCCCTATTTGGTTATTCTTATCAAGTAAATTGATAAATACGATTTTTTTTTAAATTTGTGTTTTACTAAATAGAGCATATTTATAAAACCCTTATGATTATCTATAAAATGATTTATCATATAATAGGTGTAGAGCTAGACAACAATAACTTTTAGATTTTAAAAATACTCCACTTGAATCAAAATTTATAAAAATATTAAAATGTAAAAACTTTTATTGATAAATTTTAATTTAAAAATTAAATTAAATAACTTGTACTTTTAGTTCTTGGTTGATCGAACGTCCAATGCAAAGATTTATTTCCAAACAAAAAAGTTGTTATCTAGGTCCATAAGTTAGAGCAGGATAGGTATATGATCTTATAATACAGAAAGAGGCCATTATGGATATACTGACTGTATTAAAACACATTTTGTGAATTATGGACAGAGCATCCTTAATATTTTGGGTTTAATAAACAAATTAAAGTGCGCCAAAGCCGCTGACCTCCAATTCTGAGTGCTTACCTGCTGGAATGGAAGGAAGGGCGTCCCCAGCTGGAAGTCTATCTGGACCTGCTCGATGTTCTTGAGGTCACTGATAAACGGCGCGTAGTGAAAGGGGTAGTACCAATCCCAGGACTGCACGCCGCGGTAGTAGTAGTCGAGGACCCACTGCAGCGCGTTGACGTAGTGGTGGCCCAACTCCTCGAGCAGCTGGCCCTGCGCCTCCCTCTTGAACTTGTTGCGGTAGTAGTTACGCTTGTAATTCTTAAACTCGTTCGTCAGCATCGCTTCCTCGTTGCTCCAGTCCTCCTCGCTGTCGTCCTCGTAGAGCTGGGGATATGGAAAGGGGATTACCAGGTGGACTAAGGTCAGCGGGATCACCGCTTACCTTCATGCTCTCACTGATGAGGGCTCCCAGGTCCGAATCGTAGTTCTCGTTGGCCGTGATCTGGGCCACATCGATGTCGAAGGCCTCCGTCTTGGCATTCATGTACTTCAGATCGTCGGCGTGCTCCTTGAACTGCTCTAGTTCCACCTCGGTGAGGGCCGACATGAAGATCTGCAGGCGGCGCAGGTTTAGCTTGCCGTTTTCGTTGATGTTACCGCCGAGGGCCGGGTAAATGCTGATGTAAGTGCGGTAGAGCAGCGGTAGGGCATTGGAGGAGATGTGGAGACACGGCAGATGGGGTATAAAGTCGTTACCGACCATGAAGCCCATCAGAACCCAATCGTCAATAAGCTGCGCCACGTCCAACTTCCGCTCGGGCGTACTGAGAGCGTCGAACTCGAGCTCCAAGTACTCGCGCAGCAGGCCCAGGTGCAGCAAGAAAAAGCGCGTCTCCTCCACCGAGGCGCGCTTCACGTTCCGCCCGAACTTGACCTCCTCGCGCAGCACCACGAAGTGCAGTTCGTGGGTGCAGAGGCCCAGGATGATCAGATCGGCGTCCAGGCCGTACAGGCAGTGGCGCGTATTGGGGTCAAAGTCCGGCTGGGCCTTCATGTACCGAATGTAGTCCATGATCTTGTGCTCGCCCTCACCGGGCGTCTCCTGGCCGCTGAGGATTACGCTGCACCGCTGCCACAGCGGGTCCGTGGAGATCTTCGTCTTGAGGAAGGCGCGCAGCCCGTCCTGCAGCCGCACCATGAACTCGGTGCCCGGGGTGATGCAGTTGCTATCGAAGCGCTCGTGCTCCCGCCGCTCGCCCCGCTGCGCCGCCTTTGCCTCCAGTTGCTCCGCCTCGCGGGCCGATCGGAATCTCCTGCTCCGCTGCTGGTTCATTTTGGCCCGCGGTGCCACCCCGTCGACGGCCAAGAAGAAGAGACGCTGCGGCTTGATCAGGTAGAACAGCTTGTCCACATAGTTGAAGATGTCCTGGAATATCTGCTGCTCCTCCAGGTGAAAGTGTATGTTGTTGTCATCCGGATGCGAGCAGTTGTGCACGATGCCGTTCATGTCCAGGTACAGGTTGTCGAACTCGGGTATCTAGGGGGTAAGGACACATAGCACATAAGTAGCTAATATAGCTATCCTGGATCCGCATCCACTTACGCTGTGCTCCCGCGCCAACTCACTGAGGCAAGGATAACGCTCGCTGATGTAGCGGAAGAACTTCGGGACTCCCATGTCGCTGCTCTGGATTGGGATCTGTGGATACTACCGTGCAACTCCTCCTTGGTCACTGAAAATTTTGATTTTTGTGGGCGAAAGTTTTAGTGTTTTCGGTTGTTTTTCTTTATCAACTGTGTGTGTAGTTGTATTGATTAAGACCTTATTTGCAAATAGTAGGCGTGGCGTTGCCACAAAGTCGGCCCACGTGAGTTTTAACCTTGTGGCAAGGCCAAAAAGGATTTAACTCAATCAAATTCTCTTGAAAACAAGGATTTACACAAGTGTTAATCTTAACAAAATAGTATATCGCTTTTTCCTCTTTCTAAAATGTATATAAACTATCTTTTCGTATCAGGGGCCCAAACAAACCAATCTGGCAGCACTAGCAGAAATGCAATTCTTCGAATGCAAAATAATGTGTGACACCGTGGTTGATTGCAAATTTTACAGGTAAACAGCAGGCGTGTAAGCGCGGAAATAGAGGCTAAAGTAAAGCAGTGGCAGTTAGCGGAGACACACTACAGGAATATTTTTGGTATTTCGAAGTGATATGTCTGGTTTATATTGCAAAGACAGAAATTAATGTTTTCTTTTCAAATGACAACTGAGACTTTCCGAATTTGATGTCGAAAATAACCCTCTTCTCAGTCTTGTTTACAATGCGTTAGTTTAGGGGTCATATTAACCTAATTACAAAATAAATAAAAACTCAATTTACTCTTGCCCAGAAAATGAAGTAAATTGGGTAAGAAATACAACAAAATCAGAATAGGCTATTTAAATAAAAAGTCAAAGGCAATAAAGTTTTCCGACGCGATAACTAAAATATATCAAAAATATGTCAGCAAAGACACCCTCCCGACCTTTCAGTGTGACCGCCTGTGGAATAATCGCACTGTCTCCAATTAGAATAAAAACCGAACAGCTGTTTTCCCAACTGCAAAGCGCTTGTGTTCCAAATTTTACGTAATTCGTATTTTGAAGCCGAATTCTGCGAGTGTTGAGAGCAGTTCAGCACCCCTAGCGAAATGTCGGCCCTCCGCCAAGTGATGTGCCGAGGCACTGCCTCTCTGCAGCTGTAAGTGGGTGCCCGCGGTCCGGGCAGGTGCGTCGACTGGCCAATATAATCTGCTTTCCTGCTCCATTGCAGCTACCAGGCCAACAAACTGGCCGCCGCCCGCTGGGCATCCGCATCCTCATCCTCACCTGACGGCGGTCCACTGGACCCCAAGCTGGCCCTGGCCCGTCCCGATGAGCTGGAGCAGCTCAACAAGCTGAGCGGCAAGATCTCGGTGCCCACGGCCGTCAATCTTGGCCCCATAACCGGTGTCCCCGAAGAGCATCTCAAGGAACGCCGCGTCCGCATCCATATTCCGCCCAAGAATGCCATGCAGAGCGGCACGGACAACATCAACACCTGGCAGATCGAGTTCGATAACCGCGAGCGCTGGGAGAACCCCCTCATGGGCTGGGCATCCACGTGAGTAGCCACTCTCTCTGTCCAACGAACCAACCAGTAACTAACTTCTGGTGTTCTGCCATTCCAGCGGCGACCCGCTGTCCAACATGAACGTGCAGTTCGGTTCCCAGGAGGAGGCCATTACATACTGCGAACGGAACGGCTGGCGCTGGTATGTCGACGGCGGCGAGAAACCCAAGAAGGAGCGCGTCAAGAACTACGGCGTCAACTTTGCCTGGAACAAGCGCACGCGCGTCTCCACCAAGTAGGCTCCTCCACTGCCAGGAGGATCCTCAAGCCAGGATCATAGACAATTGTTCTTTTTTTTTCTCTTTCCTTTGTTCACTATCTGAATACCCAAATAAACAGTCGGCTAAACATAGGAAGACCTCTAGTGACCACAGTATTCGGTGTTTGATGTTGGTGCGCCACGTCCAGATGGTGATTGGTTTCCTCTCCCTGTTTTAATGACCAGAGGTGTAGGCAAGGTGTTTCATCCTACAGATGCGAAAACTCCGCGTTTTAATAGCCAGAAGAGTAGGAATGATGATGCCTGTGCGGCTTCCGCTCCTCCCGACGCCTGTGTCCATGGCGCTGCTTCTCAGGGCTGCGACTGCGACTCCGACTCCTCTTTCGACTGCCCGCGTGCCTGTGCTCCCACTCCCTCTTTTTGTGCTCCTGCTCCCTCATTCTGTGCTCCTGCTCCCTCGTTCTGTGCTCCTGCTCCCTCTTCCTGTGCTCCCGCTCCCTCTGCTTGCGTTCCTGCTTCCGGGCTCTGTCCTGCTCCCACTGCCTCTGCAGCGCCTGCATCTGAAGGCTAACAAGCTGGTGCAACTCCTCGTTAAGCGTGGGCTTGCTCTTGCGGTGGCGACGCTGCTTCTTCCCCTCCCGCTTGGTCTCGCCCACTAGCTCGGCAAAGGCGGCATTATCCTCGAACTGCGGATGCTTTGCAGTGCGCTGGAGGACGTGCTCGTAGATGAGGAGCCTGTTTGGCGCATTGAGTGCCACCTGAAGATCTTCAAAGCAGGTAGCGCCACTTGGCTGGCCCGCATTCTTTCCAACAATTTGCTGGACAGATGCGTCGTCGAGCTGAACGCTGAAGGCGGGGTTGAAGCAGCAGGAGGCGGGCAGTTGCTCCACTGTCTCAGCTTTCTGCTCCGAAATGTGTCCACTTCTGGCCTCCATCACCCCCTGCTCGCTCCAGTTTAAGCGCTCCAGGAGGTCGCTCAAGCGCCTCCTACTGGCGGCTATAAAGAGACGCAGCTTCTCCCGATCTCCGCCGGACATGATAAATGATAAACGAAAACACCGAGGAAAACTGATAGTGTTGGGAAAGCCGAAAATGTCTAACCAGTGCTGCGAAACGCAGCGTGTATTTACAGTCCTTAATAGTTTGGAATATCTACGATATTATGCCGGTTGTAATATATATAGACGAGCCACTCAGCTCCAGAAGAGGACCGTGAAGGCCATGATCAGGCAGGCGGCGCCCACCCAGGGCGACTTTCGCTCCCCGATCCTCGCCAGCTTCCAGAAGGTGCCCAGGAATCTGCAATCGGCGGGGAGAGGGATTTAGCTTGGGAGTACGGATTGCAACTGCCAGGAGGAGAAGGAGTACCTACCCGGTCTTGTTCCGGTCTATGATGCTGGGAAACAGGGAGCGCAGATAAGCACAGGTGCAGATCAGCAGCAGGATGACCGACAGCAGGCTCTGGAAGTTGAACAGGGCACTCTGTGGAGGCGGAAGGAATACAGATTAGTCTCAGAATCAGATTACGATAGTAAAATTAATTCAAACCATGATTTTGCGAATCGAAACGACAACAAACGGTAAACCAGTGACGTGCCAGCTGCTCTGCCAGCGCGAACTGGTTCCAAAATCGGATTGGACACTAGAAAACTGATTCGATAACTATTGCGGCTAATAGAAATTCGGATATGCTTACAAATTAAATAATACAAAAAAAAACAGAATGTACTGAAATATATAATTATGGTATTCCCTAAAATGTTGAAAATTTACTAGGAAATTTCAGCAATAGAGGGAACGACTCTGTTGAATTTTCAAGCTGGGGCTAATTTTTTGGAAGTAAAAATATGTAATATTATATTTTTTATTATAAGTTTATGCCTTAATTTACACAGTTTGACAAATACCATAACCATAACTAAAGTTATGGAATCTAGAATGGAATAAGTGTAGTTTTGATCTCCCATTCAGGACCCCATGGGAAGTACGGAAAATTTTGACATGAAAATGGGTTAAAATTTTGCCCATCGCCTAAAAGAAAAATTTTAATGTAGAAAGTAAGATAATTCAAGCACAAACTCATAGAGTTATCCCACGTCTAGATCGGGATACAATAACTAAAGTTATGGAATCTAGAAGTGCAGTTTTGGTCTCCCATTCAGGACCCCATGGGATGTACGAAAAAATTTGACATGAAAATGGGTTAAAATTTTGACCATCGTTTAAAATAAATATTTTAATGTAGAGAGTAAGATAATTCAAGCACAAACTCATTGAGGTATCCCACGTCTAAATCGGTATACAATAACTAAAGTTATGGAATCTAGAAGTGCAGTTTTGGTCTCCGAATCAGGACCCCATGGGAAGTACGGAAAATTTTGACATGAAAATGGTTAAAATTTTGACCATCGCTTAAAAGAAAAATTTTAATGTAGAAAGTAAGATAATTCAAGCACAAACTCATAGAGGTATCCCACGTCTAAATCGGGATACAATAACTAAAGTTATGGAATCTAGAAGTGCAGTTTTTGGGTACCCATTCTAAAGCCATTCGAAATGTGAAAAAATTTGACATGAAAATGGGTTAAAATTTTAACCATCGTTTAAAAGAAATATTTTAATGTAGAAAGTAAGATAATTCAAGCACAAACTCATTGAGGTATCCCACGTCTAAATCGGGATACAATAACTAAAGTTATGGAATCTAGAAGTCCAGTTTTGGTCTCCCATTCAGGACCCCATGGGATGTACGGAAAATTTTGACATGAAAATGGTTAAAATTTTGACCATCGCTTAAAAGAAAAATTTTAATGTAGAAAGTAAGATAATTCAAGCACAAACTCATAGAGGTATCCCACGTCTAAATCGGGATACAATAACTAAAGTTATGGAATCTAGAAGTGCAGTTTTTGGGTACCCATTCTAAAGCCATTCGAAATGTGAAAAAATTTGACATGAAAATGGGTTAAAATTTTAACCATCGTTTAAAAGAAATATTTTAATGTAGAAAGTAAGATAATTCAAGCACAAACTCATTGAGGTATCCCACGTCTAAATCGGGATACAATAACTAAAGTTATGGAATCTAGAAGTCCAGTTTTGGTCTCCCATTCAGGACCCCATGGGATGTACGAAAAAATTTGACATAAAATGGGCTAAAATTTTGATCATCGTTTAAAAGAAATATTTTAATGTAGAAAGTAAGATAATTCAAGCACAAACTCTTAGAAGTATCCCACGTCTAAGTCGGGATACAATAACTAAAGTTATAGAATCTAGAAGTGCAGTTTTTGGTTACCCATTCTAAGGCCATTCGAAATGTGCAAAAATTTGACATGAAAATGGGTTAAAATTTTCACGAATTCAACCACAATCCTACTTCTAAATTGGGACCCAGTTTCTCAAGTTATATAATTTAGAAGTGAAACTTCTGCAATTCAGCAATCTCAAAGCCGATGAATCGCTTAAGTCCAGAGTTTTTACCTTAGTTTAGGAAAATGTCACAGTAACTCTTTAAAATCAAATAAGAAATTTCCACTCATGCTTATAATTTTCGTGTGCCAGTGTAACCGGGCTATTAGGTCAGGTCAATAATCGATGGCTGCAGGGAAGTCATCGATGTAGGCACATTTACGGAACCATCGATAGTATCGAATAAACATCGATTTGGCGGCCAGCACTAGCAATTTGTCTGCAACTTCGCTGCGGGTATTTTTTGTGTTTGTTGTTACATATAATCCGATCAATTTCGATCGTTCGTTTGGCAAATCAGTGTCTACTGCCCCCGATTGGTGAGATTTTGGCCAAGATTCGTCGAGCGTCATCGAAACGTTGAGTTGCCTCGCTCCGCCTGTGCTTTCGGGTTTTCCGTGCCTCTTTTTTTTGGTTCGTTTTCGTTTCGTTTTCCACTTGGATTCGCGAGGGGATGATGAAAAGGGGGAGGAGAGGAGACTCCCGACCGAGTGCATCCCCCGCGTGTGCGTGTGTGTTGGTGCTTCCAATGCAATTGTAGCTGAGCGCGCTCATAAAAATCAAAAGTATATTTAGATATACATATGTATATATAATAATCGGATACGTTTTCTCATTGCCCCACTGTGTGCGGCAGTGTGTGTGTGTGTATTTAAATCAGTAATTTCGTGAGTGTGTGTGTGTGCCGAGCGCGCTGCGTTTTGTTGTTGAGTGCGAGTGAGATAGCGGCCGGAGGAACAGAGAGAGAAACAGGAACTGCAACAAAAACACTAAGGACAACAATAACAACATTCGGCAGCAGCTGCAGCAGCGATGACTTCCAGTCGCTGCATTGGCAAAGCGGTAAGTTCTCGCCTGGAAAGTTAAGCTACATAGCTAAGCTAAGAGTTCCGCGATTTTCCTGCATGTGTATTTATGTAAGTACACACACACGCAACGTTGACGTCGGCGCTTACAGCGTTGTTAGCTGCTAACAGCACAGTAACGGCCATCCGCTTAGGTCCCGCTCGAAGTTAACCGGGAGTGTGTGAAGTGCAAGTTATACGACGTGTGTGTTTTAAAAAGTGTAAACTACTTGGATACATTTAAGAGGTGCTGAAGCGAAGGTGAGTTGCAATTTGAATACCTTCTTTCGGTGCTTTTCATGACACATTCTCATTCTCACCCACGAACGTACGCCCGCTAACACCAAAACACAACGCACATGCGCACAGCGACCCACCAACACCAATGCGGCTCTCTTTATTTTTGTTTTTAGTCTTGCTCTGCTTCCATTCCACTTCGCCTTCTGTATTCATCGGGTGCATTTATTGTTATCGGTTTCTGTTTCTCTTCCACCAAACTCGGCTATCGCTGCGTGTGCTTCGACTTTTAAACGGTAAACTATTTTCATTTTGCAATTCAAGCTGCTTGTTTTTTGTACATGGCTGTTGATGAATGAGATGTGGGAGCATTTACGCAATTGTTTTGTGATTTTTCTCGTGTTCACTGTAAGATTCTCTTTGTGGTTTTGCCATCTCGCTCGCTCTCTCTCGCTGCCCGGTGTCCCGCTCGCTCACACGCACACAGTCACAAACGCACGCACACCACGACAGAGGCCGCCATTGCTCTGCTGCGCAGCTTTTACAGTGTTGCATTCTGTGCAGTGTTGTTGCTGGCGTGGAAGCTTTTTCGCCCCTTGTTTTGTGCCCCTCGTTCGTTCGTTCAGATGTTTCTGCTATGCCGTTATCGCCCATTCGCTATGCGATACTTAGAAATTATCGATTTCAGGCTTTCCTATCCAATTATCGTTAGCACATTTACATCTTTTTCTGACCACAAAAAAAACACCGTTTGCTGTAGGGATGCAAAAACATCGATAGTGAGTACATCGATGTTTTCAACATCGATGTTTGTAAGCATCGATATATCGCTAAAACATCGAAATTTCGCGAAAACATCGAAATTTTGCTAAAACCTCGAAATTTCGCTAAAAACATCGAAATTTTCTTCAATTTATGAATATATACCATAAAACCCTCCAAATATTAATTAAAATATTGTTTTTATGAAACTTATTATAAACTTATATTTATTCAAACAAAACAACAACAATATTTTCAGAAACAAATAAAAAAGCATAATCTTAATACATATTTTAACGAAATCATAAAGAAAAATGGAATCACATTATTTCAGTTCAGTTCACTTCAGTTCAGTTCAGTTCAGTTCAGTTCAGTTCTTACTTATCTTACTTATCTAATCGATATCAATGTGCACTTTTTCCCAATTTACGTACCACTTGCTTTGCGTGTGTATCTCTTAGTGATAACATCGATGTTCGAAAAAAAGCATCGATACATCGCTGTTTTAAAAAACATCGATAGTATCGATAGTGACATCGATGTTTTTGCATCCCTAGTTTGCTGAAATGAAGGCTATTTAACTGTAAAAAAAACACCGTAGAATTTTTCTCTTTCTAATCTATTTCATTTTTAAATTGACCTATTGGCAAAAACCATTTATTCGTTCGCATATTAATAGAAGCCTAAAACTATACAAGTTATTGAATCATACAAGTTATATGTAAGCTTAACTTAGCAAGCCATAACGGGAATTTTTGTTTCAAGAGTTCTACACCCATCGTAGTCGTCAACAGTTTCAAAAGGTACATATGAATGTACATACATATGTACATATATGTATATATGAGAGACGGGAATGCAATAAAAGTTTATCGTGTAACGACACGCATAATAAGATTAAAACAATGTTACTAATCGTGCTATTAAGCAAGCGAGGGAACCCGCCGAGGGGTTTCAGTTGCAGATACAAAAGCTGAAATTTGTAAGATTTCAGAAAGACTTGAAAATATTCAAGAATTTTTTTAGATGTGTCTTGAAAAAAATCAAAAGTTTAGAACTGATTCTCATGGTTTTTTAAACCTAACAAGAGCAAGCGTTTAAAAAGTTTAGCCACAGGAGGGAATTCCCCGATGCTTTTGATGACTAAAAAATAGTATGCTTAATGCTGATGCTCGATTACTGTGTGTAAATAAAAGTACAATGAAAAATCACTTTAAAAAGATCACTGAATATAAAATATTCCCTGAAATTCAGAAGGATTTTTTTGGATAACTTTTAATACTTTGAAGTAGGCAACACATTTTGAACTCTACAGTTACACTTTTATTTAGGATACCAGGAGGGTACTAATCTTTATATATATATAATTATTTCAAAAATCTTTATAATAATCTAAGGGTTTGCTTTTGGGATGTTGCAGGTCGCTGTTGTTTTGGTCGCAGCTGTTGCGCTATTTACCGCTGCCTTTCGTAATCCCTGCATAGATGGTACCCATACCGTACCGTAGTACACCCGCTTTTTGCTCTTCGCTCGGCGATCGAATCGTATCGGATCGTATCGTTCGCGTGCCGTTTCGTTTCGTTTTCGCAGGTCTGGGGAATGGGGTCTGGGGACTGGGGGCTCCAAGCACAAGCACTTGACTCGCTCCGCTATTGCGCTTTTTGCTCATTTCGATTTTGTCAAGCGACGTGTGCGGAACTGAACTGAACGGCGGTTGGCGGTTCGGCGAAATCTCTTTGTACTTTCGTTTCTTGTGGTGTTGTTTGTGCCGTGCCCCGAGTTCCCGAGTTCCGAGTCAATATCAAATCAAAATAAAATTCGTGTTTTTTTTTCCTCTGCTTTCTGTTGTTTGCGATTTGCGTACGAAGAAATTAGCGTTCTACCAAAAGCGATCTGTGATTTTTTGTTCCGTTTGTTTGTGTTTTAACAAAAACAAATCGCGTGATTTTCTGTTGTCGCCAGAAATCGAATCCGAAACTCTATTTCCCAGAAGAAAAGATCAGGCGGCGCGCACTGCTTGCTTTCTGCGCAGCAGGACTGCTTGCATTCCGGGGCGATGGCTCAGTCGACGGCGCTCTACGCCGGCTACAAACCCCTGAGCCAGATCCAAATCCCAACCCAGACCCAGAACCCCACGGCCACTGATCCGGATTTGGCCATGGATCCCATGTGTACGTATAGTGCAGATCCGCAGTGGTTCTGACCCTCCATTTCACCCACGTTGCACTCGGTTGCTGCCCTTTCTCTGCCTCCAATTGTGCTGACCTGGTTGTCTGGGCACCTCCTCTGCGTAAACGCTTGATTAGCAGTTATTTTTGGCTTATTAACATAGTTATGGTGCACTGAGAGACTGGGGAGCACCAGTACCCCCTAGTTTTAATCGTCCGATAATGATAATCTCTGCCCACTCTCTCTTGGAAACGTGGGATTACACAGCATTGCCATTTACGTCGTTTGTTTATGCGTCGCTATTCTCTCCCATCGTCATCACATCAGCAATCGGCATCCCATCATCTCATCATCCCCACCGAGACCTGAGTTGAACAGAAAACATTTTGTTTTCATTTTCTAATGCCCCAACGAATATTTTTGCCTGCTATTTTAGTATTTTTGTGAATTTCCTTTCCGCCTTTCGGCGCATTGTTGTTACGACTTCTAGTTTTCTAGCTTTTTGCTGTACATACATATGTGCAGCACCTCGCCTTCATTTTCTATAATTTGTTTTTTCATTTTCGTTGGGGAACCGGAAAAATAGCTTAGGAAGCGCTGTGAGACGAGAGATTTTGTCAGTTTTTCACTTGGTATCCGTATCACCTGACCGTCCATTTTGCACAAGCCACCCTATCCCCACCCCCTTTCGTTCAAGGCCGCGAGGGTCCGTCGTTATTTATAATTCCGTTTGTTTGGTCCCAGCGGTTAGCACTTGGTAGATCGGCACTGTTTACGTCTAAAGCTGTCTAGGGTATCGTTTTCTGCCACCTCAGCTTCGAATTCCGGGTAATACTTCCTCCGTGGAGTCAAAGAATATAGGCGATTTCCAGATTTTCAGCCATACGCGATAAGGGATACGCGTACGGGGTGGGGCGAAAGCTTGGGTGCTTAAAGCTTAATCCCTTTTGAGCCCAGCGCATCACATGGCATTGAAATCGAAAGTTGGAGGCTTATCTGACGGTGCCTTCGGTGATGAAAAGTAAACCCTACGCACCAGGGTGTACCAATACCAATAGAGTAAAAATGTTATAGAATGATAATGGTTCGATATGTATGTTGCTGTTTGTCTAATATGAATTAAAAAAGCTTAGATCTTAACCACAACCTACGATTCAATACAACTGCGACTTTTTTTTACCACCCTACTAAAGTAGACACGAAACCGAGGTGGTCACGAGTCTCATTGGAGCGATTCGCGAAACGCAATTAGAACCTATGTCAGGTGGTCTGATCGGTATTTAGGGGGTTGCGCCCTTGTAACCCTTTTGCAAACAAGTCAAATTTCTATCTAAAGGCAACACTTTTTTTTTGTTCCGATGCACTGCTTGCTCGCTGGACCGAAATGGTATTTATAAATTTAAACTTCAAAGTAAACATCTCCGACTAGCAATAAATGACAATGAATGCCAAAATAAAAGCATATAAGTATTCTTTATCGACAACAGAGTATACCTTGCACTGTCTGCTTGTAATAAAATCTCGCAGTTAAATACTATAATAAAATAGCTATGGCAACCAGACATTTTGCTTCTACAAAGATATAGAAAATATTTACCTAGTCAGCACATTCTGCAAACAAGCTTATTGGTTTAAAGACTTACTGAGATGCTGGGTGGGATACGTATCTTTTTTATTACAAGGTATGGATTAGGATAGAACTTTAATTTGCAGGAAAAATAATAATAGCAATTCAAATACTAGGAATAATCAATTAGCTATTTATAAAGAGTGCACTCCTAAACCTGTTGATTTCAATGTGGTACGCAACAAAACAGATACCTCACTTAA